TTAAATTTGTATAAAATTAAAAGATTTTACATCGTAAAACAATTTCTTTTAACCCCCAATTCTTAATCTCAAGCCTCAAACACAAAAATCTCAAACCCTAAAACTCATACATCAAACCCTTAATCTTAAACCTTAAATCTTAAACCTTAAATCTTAAATTATAAATCCTAGTTCTAAAAGAAGAAAAAAATAACATTTTACTGTGAGTTAATGAAATATTTATTTATAAGTTATAAATTTTAATTAAATTTATACTATTTATTTATTTAAATCTAATGATTATAAACTAATGTAAAATTTATTAATTTTACGTAATTTAAATGGATGCTATTATATATATATATATAATATGAAAACTACACTACATATATTAATCATAGCTGACACATAACATTGCATAACAAAACTAAGAACTTAGGTGACAAAGTAAAAGAAAGAAGTCGAAAATATTTTACTTTTTTTTTTCTAGAATTTTAGTTTATTTGTTTGTTTATTATTTTTTTGTATAAATAAACAGATTCTCATTTATGATGCCCTTAAACATCCTTGCCTTTTTCTTCCTCAAATTCTCAAAGTCAAGTCCACCTCCTCTGCATTACTTTCATCAACACCTTCATCTTCCCTTTCTTCAAGCTCAAGCTGTAACACCCTAATTTAGGGGCTAAATTTTAAGAAATTATAAAGTGGTGAATTTAATTGGTATTTTTGGAAGAAATTAGGGATTAAATTGTAAAATTGTAAAGTTTGTAGACTATTTTAAGAAGTGCAGGAAGTTCAGTGACTAAACTTATGATTTACCCATTTTCTTTATGGGATGAATTATAACCCCACATCCCGTGTGTTTTTCCGCATAAATTTCTCAGTTTTTCCTCTATAACAACCATCTTTTCAACTCCGATCTACTCGCAGTCCGACTTTTGATCGACGAACCGAAACCACCATCGTGTTCGTTGTCGATTGAGGAACAAAACCCATCAAACCTTTCGTCGTGAATCGTCTCCATTTGTCGTTAATTTCAGTCGGAAGTATCATCGGTAATAACTCGATTTTAGTTGGTTTTTCGTCGATTCACGACGATCCGGTCATCCGTTTACGACACCTCCCGCACCATCGTGTTCCTTGTGCCGTTCCGAGTCTGCCGGTGTTCTCCTTGTCTCCGTCGGCGGCGGCGCGTGAGGAGGTGAAGCGGTCAAAGTTTCTGACATTTCAGAATCGAGCTCTCCGCCGTTCAAAATTGTGAACCAAGCTTGGTAAGTGCCTTAAAATCGCTTAAAATAATTTTTAAGAATTTTCCGGGAATTTTCCGACACCGTAGCACTGTTCACGCATCGCACGTGCCACCCCCAAGAGTGGGCATCGTCTGGGTGATAATTTTGTAATTAAATTATGTTTAGGTGCTATTTGTGTAAAATTCGGGTGTTAGTTTCGTAATATTTGCAAAATATGGCTAATTTGGTAATTAATTTTTATTAGGGTGATATTTGTGTAAAATGGTTGACCGTTGACCGGCGTTGACTAGAAGTTTGACCAGCTTTGACCATGCATTAAATGACCTTTGACTTTGACCGAGTATACCTATCCTGATATTTTTTCGACGTTCCAAATCCGATTCTGCAGTCCGTTTTTTGAAATTCAGACTCGAAGACCTCGAAATTACCAGTCAAACCTGTTGACTGACTTTGACCGAAAATTCAAGATTTTTGAAAAGTCATATTTTATGTTTTCGACGTCCTGAATCTGAAGTCTGTTTCGCCAAATTCGAACCCAGTAAGTTGTTTTTTCATTGATTTATCATTTCGATCCGTTTTTCAGAATTAAGCTCCTTTTTTGATGTAATTTCTGTTAATATGTATATGAGGAATTATTGGACATTGAATTAAAGATCGAGGGCATTCAAATAGAATTTATATGGTCGATCAGTATGGCACAAAAATCGAGGTAATACATTACTATCTTTTCATGTTTTATGGAATATGTTGGTATTGGTAAATGCATGAATTGAAATGTTTGGTCTCATATGTGTAATTAATGAAGTTCTACAGACGATTCGAATACATTAAAAATACGGTAAATGAATATGGCTCATATGACTAATATAAGAAATGGATGGATTGTTAGAATTAAATTATGAGTTCTGTGATTAGTGATAAAGGTATTATCATGGATTTGTAGCATATAAATTATTTCATCAAAGGTACTTGGATGAGAAATTATGAGAATATTTTGGTAGGGTAAAATTACGAAAAAACCCTTATGTTTTAAGATGACAAGAATTGTCCCTGGAAGTTGACTAATAACTTTGAAAGAATATATTGATCTGAGCAAACTATAGATGTGCATAAGAAATGCTAGTTTGCTTAGAAAATTTGGATAACCGGGTTTTAACCCAATAGGTTTTATGCAAGATACTAAAAGTCTGTTAAGGAATCATTTCGAGATCAAAGAATGTTCGGGAAAGCAATTAACCATTGGATCTCTAAAGTATAATTATTTTCGTTAAGAGTTAATACCGAAATTATCTGGTTAAAAAATTACGAAAATGTCCTTGAGAGGTAAAAATAGTCCAAGTTGACTCTGAATGAAAAAGTAACATGAGAATTTGTTTTTAAACCGATAAATTACTGATTTGATTATTGAGATCCTATTTTTGTATGGAAAATTCCTAATAATCCGTCAGTAACATCTGAGAATGCATTTAACCTAGAAATCTCCGACTTAAGTAAGTACATGAAGAATAATAATTTATCGATGGTGATATATTGTCAGAATAGTTCAAATGGACTGACATAAATGATAAGTTTGAATTAAATAATAAGACTGGACGGAAGAAAATGATGGAAATATTCTAGATCTGTAAGATGGCCAAAATACCCCTATGTCCTAGACTAAGTAAATGTCTTGGATTATTTAAGAAATTCAAATAAACATGTATGTTGTACTGCTCTTAAAGGTTATAGAACGCAACTTAAGCCGATTAATCAATGCTAGTGCTGTATCAATACTTGAATGGCATAGGAACCACTTAAATGCTTGTTCGTTTCCTCAAGTTAGAATTGATGATAATTTTGGAAGTACTTAACTCAACGCTAGAGCATATTCGATAGTAAGTAATGGATATCCGTAAGATAAAATCAACCACGAATACTATAATGACTCTAGTATATGACTAAATTGAACTGAATGGAAATACAATATGTATTTGGAATTCAGAAACGTCTGAATTACTCGGGAAAACTCTGAAGTAACAAGAATAGACATGATTGTTAAATGAACTAGATAACCCCAATGAATGAGGATTAAATAAGTGATTTGGATGAGTCTGGAAACACTGTTGAACTTACATGATGAATTGTCTTTATGAGTTATGAACCATGAATCAAGTACGTATGTATTTCCTGATATCGTTGAAACATGGAAATGAAATAAAGACAATTGAGAGATCTATTCAGCGATGGTTATGGGGATGATCTATGGATCTGCATTATGGTATTAAAGAGTGAATACACTGGAAGGATAATGAATTGACTTGTTGACATGCATCAGTTTGAGAGTTATGTAACTCGAGTTGTTTGATAATACGGTCGATAGTCATAGATTGTAAATGACTTGAATCTTTGATTCTATATTTTCATCTAAAATCACTTCGGTCATGTTTGAAAACGCAAGTAACACAGAAGGAAAAGATTCGGAATACCTCATTTGGTTCAATTGGGCTGAAATCCTATGAATTCAAAGTATATTCCTGAATACCCCTGATTGTTTGGGTAATGGAATCACTCGTAGTAAATCTGAATTTAGAATTATTATGTATAAAAGTTCCTGAACGTTTTCCTGATGCACATAGAAACTTAGTGGAATTCTAAAGTATCAATATGAAATGTCTGATTAGATCGATTAGAAATCGATTCTCTTCAATAAGATCTTATTACTGGAATCCGATCAAATTGCATAAGTTCATGTTATCCATATTGATAACTACAAAATGCATCTGAAAAGTATTTGGATTCTCTAGTGTGTTCCTTATATTTTTAAAAATTGTTTTATTGTTTTAACATGTGGTACACTAAAATCTATGGTTACTGTTTTATGGATGCACCGACTTAACTGTGATGGCTTATGGATTTGTATCATTATATAAAACTGTATCTTGGAGATACAGATTTGTAAAGTACAGCTCTGATCAAGCTGGAAAATTTTTATGGACCTAATGTGACTCTTAGGTAGGCTCTGCGACCCTAAGATCATTCTCGGGTAGGCCCTGCAGCCCTAAGATGTGTTCTTAGGTAGGCCCCACGGCCCCGAAATCTATCTTGGGTAGGCTCTCAGGCCCTAAGATCTTCCCTTAGGTTAACTCTTTGTAAAATGGTTTTAAAATACGAGTTTAAAAAAGCTCCACTACAGTATGGTTTATGGGATTTTACTGAACTATCATTTGATTAGTGTACCTATTATGGTTTTATCGTACTGATGGAACACACTAGGCATCCTATTCGACCTCATGAAAATGTGATAGTATGAAAGGTTTCTTATGAACTGAGATTCATGGCTTCTACTCGATGAACTACTAATGGAACCCCATATTATTCCGCAATTGATATACGTTTGATTCAATAAGGAAATTATGGCTTCTCATTTATCTGCATGTCATGTAGCATCATCTGGTAGTTCTGTATTACTGAGCTTTCTGAAGCTCACTCTATTACTCACCATTGCAGGTTAAAAGAATTATACCAGTGCATTTATCGAATTCAATAAGGGAGCTCTTCCGGCGTTGTTTGTAGAGTATGGTACATGTGATTAGGGGGCATGTAGATTGTATTTTGTTTTTATATCAGAGTCTGATAAACCCGTTTTATTTCTGAAAAATAATAAATCATTTTATGATTTTACATGTTTTAAGAAAAGTTTTAAAGTTTTCGCTATTTCTACGGTGGGTTGCTCCGGTGGCCCTAATGTGACACTCCAGATCGGATCGGACTATCCGCATCGGTCTGAGAGGGTTACACAAACAAGTTCAACACCACTCCCTTCCTGTTACCACCCTCGTTACGAGTACGCGAGTCTTTGATTTCTCGACACAAATTGTTACCCGCCGAAGAGTAACTGTTCAGTATCATGATCACCGGTTCCGCAGTTGGAATAGTCACCATCGGAGGAGACCGCTTCTTGAATGCGAAGCGCCGCTCGTTGTACAGTCGCTGCTCCTCGTTTCTTTCCTTCTTGTGAGCGTTTTGGTGTCCCCCCAAGGCGTGCCACGAAGCGAATCTTCTCGGACATCGAGTGCATGCGAAAGGATAAGTGATCTCTTGGGAAGTTCCGCTCGAATCCATGGTTTTCGACATTTTTGAGAGTACAAATGAGGGGGGGAAATATGGAACTTGTTTGAAGATTAATACTATAACTGTAAAGAAGGAATACCTGAAGCTTTTGTACAAGTTGCATGGATTTTAATAAAGGCGTTAGACACGTGAGATCATTGACGTAAGTGTAAAAAATACTATCAAATTTATTCATGTGTCGGTCAGATTTATTTTTACCTTTAATTTATCATTTATTTGATATTAAAACCAAATATAAGATCATATGTTTACATTTGATAATTATTTTTAGGGTAAAATACACAAATGATTCCCTAACTATAGGATATTTCTTTGTTGAGTCCTCTAACTATTAAAAGTTATAAAGTAGTCTCCGACTACAAGGAGTTGCCTTATTGAGTCCCTCGACCATTAAAAGTTATAAAATGGTCACCCGACTATTCATTATGTTTCAAACTAGTCATTTTCTTTTAAAAAATTAACGATAATATGAGTTGGGAGTTAACTTGCTGAATGGGATATGATAAAATTTAATCTCATAATCTTAAATGACTATTATATCTCAGTCACCATGTTAACGTCCAACTCAGGTGATCGTTAATTTTTTAACGGAAAATGATGAGTTCGGAAAATAATAAATAGTCGGGTGACCATTTTATAACTTTTAATAGTTGACAGACTCAATAAAGCAACTTCTTATAATCGGAAGACCATTTTGTAACTTTTAATAATAAGTAAGTTTAATAAAATAATATTCTATAATCTGTTTTAAATTTTAAACCCAAACCTTAGTCCCCAAATCATTTCCCAAACCCCCAACCTCCAAAGCCCTCCCGACCTTTTTGGTTCTTAGAATCAATCGTTCCGTTCCATATTTCGACGATATACAAGCCATCGATTACCAGCAGAAAACCTTACCTTATCTCACTGGTTGGGAGCACATTAATAGAATCATTTGTGGGGGCAGCCGAAAAGCTGCTTTGGAAGCCATATCCATTGACTAAAAATTGCATCCAGGTTCGTCTAATGACAAATATAGAATATAATATGCTAGGGGATTTCAAAATTTAGAATATTCGTATATAATATTTATGTTTTAACGATATTTATGTTAAAAGTGAAAATAACATTTTCTTTGATTCTAGATAGAAGAAATTATAAAAGAAGTTATGATAATATCTTTAATCGTTTTGTATGATTAAATTACGTAATAAAAATCTTTTAAGGACATCATTTCAGAGAACCCCATATCATTTAGGACTAGTCTGATTGCCTCATGAAAATCAAAAGAACCACTTTGTGTTATCCCATTTTGTGCGAGTTCGAATCCTATCATTTACCTTAAAATGTAATGCTAATATTCAATCTGAAGCAAACCATTCAAGAAACTGAAAAGAAATGACCAAAAAATCCAAATGAATTCCAGGAAAACAAAACCTCAAACCAGCAAAGCTCCATTAACCAAGAACAAAAAAAAAAAAAAAACTGACCACTGAAAGCCCTCAAACATTATATGACACTCTACATTCAATAAATTAAATGACACACATTGGGTAAACAATCTATCTACTAAGAAACTATAAGCTAAACTTGGATTTTAGATTATTGTATGCCCAGTTATAAAGAACTCTCCAATATCCTGGGAAAGAAGTCAGAAGAAGGAAAACCTTGTCCCATTACTAGCTGCAAACAAATTGTATTGTTCAACAGTTGACTCCTCTTTGTTGCAACCGTGACCATTCTCGACATGATCTGCTGAAAACTGGGAAGAAATTTCTTCCACGATCTCGTCTTTCAAAGGTACAGGATTAGATTTGCATCCTGTTGAAAGAGCCACGAGCCCACCAAAATGGAACAAGGAAAAGCTAGTGTCATCCATGTGTGATTTCACAGAGCTATCATTTTGCCTACCTTCTCCATTTGCTGCTTGTTCTGTTGCATGCAGCTTGCCGGGAACAACCCTCAGTGGGTTACATTCGGTGAAAGCTTCGATTGTTGTACAAGGCTTGGGAATCTGAGTTCTCCCCTCCGTGTACAAGCCACTGGCCTCTAAAACTGGCTGATAAACTGGAACATGACCAGGGTTAAACGGTGGAGCAGCTAAAGGCTGCAGAGTTCCATATGGCATGCATAAATGTGAGTTTCCGTTTAGACCATAGCCAAGAGGGCCAGTATAAAGATAAGGGATTGGAGGAGGGAAAGACACTAAACCATTAGATGGAGGTGCTGGCCAAGAAACAGGATTCTGATGGTAGTAACCCATGGTTGAAGGAGCTTGGTACACTGGAAATTGTACGTGTTGGCTATGCACTGATGCAAACATGCCTTGATGCTGAGGACCCATAAAGGCAGTTGGTTTCCATTATCAGAATTTTCAGCAGTTTTTGTAGGCGGATTTCCGGGAGCTTTGTTCCCAGTACCATCTAGTGGATGTCCAAACAATGCCTGCCTTTCCAGAGCAATCCCTCCATTGACTTCCTGCTTTTTATCCATTCCTTTCACCTGAAACTCAGAAAAGCCATTTTGAATGCAGATTGAAGTGTCTCTCCTATCTGATTGTTGACAGGCATCTTTAGAATCCGATGTTGACGAAGATTCCAAATTTCCATGATTTGAAGAGGAGGTATTTCTATCTCCTTCACTAATGCATGAGGAGAAGTTATCAGAATTAGAAGTGCTACTAATCGTAGAATGAGGAATACCATTCAAGGTAGGGTTTCTGTTGGGAAAAATTCCAACTTCCTCACACCCAGCATTAAGTGAAGAACATTGATAATGTGTTTCCACATGACAGTCACTATTTGTTGAATGGTTGGAGTTTCTTGAAGTATTAACCTTGCGACGGTCATGATCAATTTCATCCAAATTTGCACTAGCTTCACTTGAACACGCCTTACTGGATGAATTAACAAAGTTATCATCAGGCTCATCCCCTTCATTGTAAGTAGATGACCTCAAAGTAATATGCGTATCAGAGTTGCTCCGGGGGTAGATTTGTAGATGACCTCAAAGTAATATGCGTATCAGAGTTGCTCCGGGGGTAGATTTTATGCGCTTCTGAGGGCTCCCAAACTTTCTTGAAGTGAATCTCGAGCGGTAGGATTGTTTCTGCAAACAATTTTATGTTTCAGCTTCCCAAAATATTCACGCATGTGAACTTGTTGATTATACTTGTTACCACTATAGACCTGCTTGGACATAGCAAACTTAGATTCTGTCTTGATCACAGATTTGGGCTCTTGACCAACTCTAGTTGCAGACATATGTGGCTCAATCTTGGCTCTGTATTCATTTTGTTGGCTGCAGCTGCTGGAGTAAAAGTCACATCTATCACTCCACCCATTGGAACACTGAAATTTCTCGGCATACTTAACACTACCATTCCGACCATTGGACTTTGCATTGCTTATCCTTAATTGCCTATTTAATCCATTGAAGTTACTTGAAGAAGCCTCAAAGTTTTCACTTTGTTGTCGTGGCTCAGATCTATTAACAGGAGAGCTTTCTGAAACAACAGCAAGCTGACATCGATCAGACCATTTTGTGGAGAGATCGATCTGACCATCATTGTGAAATTCCAATCTCCGACGAGAAAATTTTGATTGTTCGATTATAAAAGTGCCATTCCCATCTGTTATCTTTGTACCTTCTCCATCAGAACTATCAAAAGAGTGATTCTGCAAACTTGAAACGGAATTCCCATCTAAAAACTGGTCTGCTTGAACATCTGGAGAACCAGGTCCAGACACTATAATATCACCTGTGTCACTCACAGAGTCTCTGCAAGTAATAGCAATATTTCCTACAACCTCGACAGTTAGTGAAGATTCTTCCTTTGCAATATCAGGAGAAACAGGAGTAATACTTTCAGCATATTTCTTTTCTCTCTCTCTTTCTTTTCCTTACAGTCTCTCCTTTCTCCTAAGCTTTCTCTTCCGTTCTTTTGTTCTTTTCCTTTCCTTGCACTCTTCTTCTTCACGCTTTTCCTTCTCTTCTTCCTCAAGAAGCTTCATCTGTAGAAATCACGCAGTGACAATGATATTTATAAAAAAAAACATATGGAGAATCCTATATTTACTGATAAGTATAAAGGAATATCTATCTCAAAGAATCGCCAATTGCTCAACTTGCTTTTCTAAAGTAATAATTTCCTTGCATGCAACATAAACATGTTCTTCCAACAGCTTAACGGCAAGACTAACGAAGATACTATATACATTCTGGCGTGCTGTTCCTTCCTGAAAAGCCTTTTCAACCTGAATATCAAAATTGATCACTTGTTTTTAAATTTGTAACAAGAATTTTAGCAATAATGAAGACACAAACAACTGGTCTTCAACAAACATGGTGGAGCAAGTTAGCAAGGTTGGCCTGAAACTGGTCTCAAGATATCATTGTTCACAGAACAAACGTGTTGCATTTCCTCTAGCCAAGTAGCTTATAGTATTGTGACTATGGCAATCTTTCTCAAAGTTTAACCATAGACAATATTATCATTTATTATTGGTCCTGCTTCTCTAAACCTCAAAGTTCAACACCAAACCATTCTGAATAGAGATTTTGTAAGAAACAAGAGAATGAAATTCTGGTTAATAACTTACCTTAGGCAAATTAACATATCAAGTCATTAATATAAACTGATTTCTGTTATCTTCCTAACTTTCACATTCTTCTACACACAAAGGTTCAATTATCAATGGAAATGATAGAATCCCAAAGCTGTTTTCATGTTTCAAGACGTTACAGCACAGTAAAAGTGAAGGTATGAACATGCCTGTTCCTTAAAAATAACAGTTGCTGCATCAAGAAGAAACTCTTGAGCAAGCTCAGGACTCTCCGCATGCTTTTGTGGATGTGATCATTCCCCATCAAGCTCATTTCCATCCTTGTCCATGGAATCATCATCCGGAAAAGATGATTTAAAAGTTCAACGTCGCAGTTTTCCAAAAACCTTACTTCTAATCCTCACAAAGTTTGAACTACCTCTTCTTCCTCTGCCTCTTCGGCATGCTCAAAAAACTTCTAATACTTTCGCCCCTCGTGATTGTAACATAACCATCTCCAACTACAAGCCTGTAATGCACACATTTGTTGGCCCTTTAATGCATGGGCTTTTACAGAAAACTCAGAACAGCGGCCATCAAATTTCCAGGCCCTCAGAGTGATATAACATATACTCAAGCCATCAAGATCCAAACCATTGACTTGGACACTCCCATTCATACCAACATTTTCAAATTCCAAGATATCTGATTTTCCTTCCCAGTTCCAACTGCCCATTCAAAGTGGTGGTAAGTTCCAATTGTGTCGGCAAAAGTTTGACGCCAATCAGCCTGGATGGTGTCATCAGATACCTGGGCGAGTAATAAAGAAAAATATTCGCATAAGTCAGATAACTTTTGAAAATTCTCACGAGAAGATCAATATTTATGACTATGGTAGTCAAAATTGAAATTTCTCCAATAATTTTTTTTTGAAGAGTTGATCTAAAGATGAACATTTGATGTTATGTAAACAATAGTCGGTGCACCAAAATTTTAAAGATCAGGATACCTCATATAAAAACGCTGTATCTGCGACACAAAACCAACTACTGCATCGAGGTTCTCTACGCATGCGCTTTAGTTCCTTCAGCTCCTTGAACTCACGGATAACATTTCTTCTGCAAAACCTTTTGCTGTCAAACCTAAGCCAAAAATGCAAAGGTGAGATATGATATCTTTACAAAATAATAGTGACCAGAAGTTTGCAGGAATGTTCTAAAGATGGAGCTAATAAAAAAATAGGTGATATCTGAATACAGTTTCAGCCTAGGCCAATACTTCTTTATGAAAAACTCTCGGATGTGCAAAAGGAAAGAGAATTTTGAAATAATATTAATTTCAGCAGAAATCTTTCTGAGGGTAAAAATAATAAGGCTATGCCACCAATCTTGTTTGGTGTTTTACAGAAAATAACTTTGTCGAAAGAAAATTAACTCCAGGTTAATGGAATACTACCCCCTTTTTCCGAAAATTGTCTTGTGCTTTAGAAAAGCATAAGACATATTCTAGAAGTTGAAGTAAGAAAAATGGATCAGTCTAGCAATCCGTTCCTTATTGTGTAGAAGCTGAAGCAAAGCAAACAACGATCAATTCCTTAACTGTAGGGATCAATCTTTTTTATATCAATGTAGAGTTTTTCAAAAGAAAAGTACAAGAAAGATATTGTAATAACCAATTTTTATCCCCCATACCTTGTTGTTCCCAAAACTGTACAATTTTCACTATCCACTCCAGCACATGCTTCACTCTCCACACCAACACCAGCACATGCTCCAGCACCAGCACATGCTCCACTTACCAGCACCAGCACATGTGGCTGCACACCACCAAATGCCAGCCCATACCTCACTCATGTTGCTGCCCATGCTTCACCCATCACTCCACCATCAGGAAATTATTATTATATGATTTTGTAATGGGTATAAAACCCAATCGAATTCTACGTAAAAGGGACGGATTATTTTCAGCAATAAAACACAACAATTAGAACTGAAATCTTCAAGCAAATTAAAGAGGTATTTTCGTTTTTTTAGATTCTTGAGATGTAATTAGAAAACCTAATGTAGTTTATAATTTGATTCTGCTTGTTTATGTGAATTCTATAGCTAAAAAATAGAAAAATAGTTGAAGAGGGGGTCTGTTAGAAGGATAGACAGAAAGAAGAGAGGAAGATACAAAAAGGGGTTATATTCATCCAAAATGGTTTAAAATGTGAAATATATAGATTAAGAATGGTGAAAATCACGCTGAGGCCTTTCAAATTTCTGTCGTGTTTTACATCTTGATCACCAAACTTGTGCATAAAATCACGCTTAGACCCCTGCACATTTAAGCGTTTTTATAAACTGGTCGCTAATTTTTTTTCTTTGCGTAAAATTATGTTAAACCTCTAATACATTGTAGTAACTCGCATTTTAGTCCCCGAATTTATCTGTCTTGTTTTATTTTGTGTTTGCCACTTAAGTTTCGCTGTTTATAATTTAGTCACTAATATACTTCAATTCCAACATTATTTATTTATGATTTAAAGCACTTTATGTTTCATTATTTTATTCTTGCCACTGACATACTAACATTTTATTTTTGTTGTACAGTTAATCTCATAACTTTTAGATTTTTGTGCGATTTATTTTTGTATATTATTTGTATCATATTTTTTTACAAATCATTATTTGTTTTCTTACGTATGTAAAGAAAGACATTTTATTGTGGGAAAAATCCACGAAGACATCTCCCAACTAAAGGGAATGTATCTTTTCGAAGACTTTTCGCACAAATGTTTTATTCAATAATTTTATTAGCTTTACATTTAATTATATTTATTATTTATTATTTTCTGTTTTATTTTAACTCATCTTATCTCGTGAAAATATGGAATAATGCTATTTTGTGAGAGGAATCTATGAAAAAGTCTCCTAACTATAAAGGAAGTGCATTTTCAAGGATTGTTCGTACAAAATAACACACTTTCTCATATTATAAAATAATTATAATATTTTTATTTTGTAAGAATATCTTTTGGGTTATTTAATCTTTTTCATTAATTGCATTCCTTATTTTAAAGATTTTTATTAACACTTACAGATTTTGAATAAATAGAATGATCATACTTTAAATATATTTTTGAAGTTTGTAATTCCCAATATTTAAACAACATATAATCATTTAGGTACCAAAATTTGGACGTTGTGGATGTGTTTACCCTTCCCCACACGTAACCGACTCCCGAACTCTTAAAAAATGAATCTTTGGTAAAACGCAGACCAGTTTGTCGTCTTTTAATGATTTTTCTAAACTCATTAAAATGATGTTTAAGGTTTCCAATCTACCTAACTTAAAGGTTGGTGGCGACTCTAATATCAAATTGTTTTTTTTCAAATCGAATTTCATCGTTTACCCCCAAAAACCTAAAAATTTAAAGTCTAACGGATCCACACAGAAAGCGTTATGACAGCTTGGCGACTCTGCTGGGGACTTAGAGAGTCAGGCCATAAACGATTATACATTGTTTTTATTTTTGAAAATTACAAACTTAAGTTGTATTTGATTTATGATCATTTTATTTATTTTGAGTTTCAACATTACATGCATTATTTTTATCTTTAACTAATTGATTTTTGATTTTAGTGGTCTTCAGATTTGAGCAGATTTTTGAGATTTGTGAAAGAATAGTTTTTTTTGGTCATGTTTTAAAGGTTTGTGAGTTTCTCCTCACACACGGCACGTGCATTTACATATCATAAGCTCACTTACGAGCTTTGTCCTTTTTAAGTTGAGGTGAAAGCTTAACCTACGTGAGATAAATTGTTTCTCCGTACGGTTTTAGCAAGTAATCTTTGGGGTTCATATACCTTATGTTTACGTGAGATAAAATGTTTCTCCGCATGGACATAAGGGAATGTATCCTCTCGAATTGAACTCGATCCGCTTAAGCCTGTAATGGGTCAGGATTGAGGGTTTGGCAGCCTAAGGAGGAACCAACAAGAACAATTCGAGTACCTTTTTCTCATAATGCCGAAACCATGCATATAATGAGCCCTACGAACTCATCCCGATAAAATTCATTCAGAACCTCTGTCCGTCAGTAGGTACCCAAAATAAGTATACACAAAGGACAAACGACGCTAAACCTTCTTTCTTTCTTTACTTGTAATATTTTATTTTCTGAATAAAGCATGTGAACTAGAAGAGCATGTGGGTAGGTGTTGCAATTACCTTTCAATAATATTTGCTTGATATTTGAATTCTTTTATACTGACACATTTTTGTGTTTAATGGTTTATTATTTGGCATTTTTTTTGCATGATCATCATAAATAAAAGAAAGGTGTTGATTAACCAAGTAATCATCATAGTAGAAGAGCGACCATTAAAATGGAAAAGAGTTTTCATAACAAGGAAGAACTCAATTCGGTTGTCCGAGTTTGGTCTGAAGAAACACAAAGGGCTAAAGGAGACAGCTTGCCTGGAGATTATGTATCACATATGTCCACAGATGTAAATATCACTCTCAAGCAGAATGATCTACAAGAACTGATAGAGATTTGGGAGAGTTGGAAAGTAGCTACCAAAGAGAAGTTCCACAAGAAATATGGTGACATAGCCTATATACTCTATGTAAAGATAGATGAACTGTTGCTTAAAGCTCTGGTCCGATTCTGGAACCCTGCATACAGCTGCTTCACTTTCAACAGACAAGATTTGACACCGACAATAGAAGAGTATACAACTCTATTTAACTTTGAGAGCCTCCAGGTGGATAGGATTTATTCTAGACCTCCAAAAGTCCAATCCTTTAAAAGTAAACTTGTAAAGATTACTGGTAGAGGCGAAAATTGGATAGTAGAGCACATCCAACAGAAAGGAGAAAGTGAATGTTTTCCGTGGAATTGTCTCAAGAAGGTGATACTCGAGCACATGGATGAAGATAAGAGATTATACACGTTTGCTCTAGCTGTATATGGTCTAGTGATATTCCCGAAGACCTTGTTCCACGTGGAGGCTGCTATTACAGATTTCTTTGATAGATTGGAGAAAGGTATAAATCCGGCACCAGCTATTTTGGCAGAGACCTTCCGATCCTTAAACAATTGTCGTAGACTGGAGGGGGTCGATTTATAGGATGTGCCCAGCTACTCACTGTCTGGATTCGTAGCCACTTCTGGAAGGAAGAGAAAATATCTTATCACCGTTTCTCCACCATGTATTCGCCTTTGAAAGAATTTCTTAGCAAGGAGTGGCCAGAGGGGTTACCAAGGAGAAGATGGATATCAGCTTTCAGTAATCTACAAGATCGAGACATCGCTTGGTGTGTTCCTTGGCTAGGATATACTAGCATTTTATTCAGATGTGGAGATCTTGACCACGTTCCGTTGCTAGGATTATGGGGAGGAGTCAACTATGCCCCGTTGATGGTTCTCAGACAGTATAGGGCACGCCAATTTGTCCCAGTTACGAGTGGTTTAAATAAGTCTGAGATCACATACCATGGAGACCACTACAAGAAGAGAGCACGTGATTTATCTCTTGCCTGGAAAAGAACCTTTCGAACAAAAATTATGGCCGGGGATGTTATGTACATTCCAGACTATGAGGCTTGGAGGTCTGCAAGAAGAAACGAAAATGTCCTTTTTCCAGATCAAGGAGAAGTTGTTCCTTGGGAAGAACATATCAAGGTGGTACCCTCACAATCAGAGATTCTCACTGCTGAATTTGAAGCTGAAAAGAAGAATTGGGACAGGGCAATGGAAGAGTTCAAACAAGAGAATTTCATGTTAGATCTTGATAGAGGTCTTCATGCCAAACAATGTGAGTTTTTGAAGAAAGATAAAGAGAAAGTTAATCTTGAACTGGCTGACCTGAAAAGAGATTATCGCAACTTACAAAAGGCAAAGAAAATATATGGATCTAGCAAGACATCACAACAGTAGGCTAAAGAGTTGGCAATTGAGAAGCGATGTGTTCAAAGTCTAGAGGCCGAGAACAAACACCAACTTAGGAGAATTGAAGCCGAAAAGAAATTACGGGACAAATACAAAACTGAAAAAAGAGAAGCGACTAAGCAACTTAAGATTGAAAGTCGTAGAGCTGAGAAATGGAAAGCTGAGAAAGAAACTAGCTTGAAGGAGTAGGAAGCAGAAAATCATCGAGTTCTTGGTTTGGAAACTGAAATGAATAGTATGCTGGAAGAACTCGAGGCTAGAGATCAGAGGATCCAAGAATTAGAGAAAGCAAGAGAGCAAAAAAAAGAGGAAGTATGGACTGAAAGACAGGGGTGGAACCGAATTCTCGAAAGAAAGCAGGCCGAAATTGGGTCATGGTTGCAAAGATTCCAAAAAAAGAACAGGCGAGTGGAACAATTAACCAAGGAAATGGAAGATCTACAGACCAGTTTTGAAGGAGAATTGAATCGGTCTCGGGATATGAATAGTGAACTTAAAGATCATATTACGCACCTCGAGGAGTCTTTACTTCAAGTTCAAGTACCACCCGAGTCGATGGACTTAAGGTTTTCTCGTGAGGAGAATAAACTTTTGCGAGAACAAGTCAGAAGACTAGAGAGTGAGCTTCAGCGCTGTCGAGTATACATCACCAACCTAGAAAGAGAAATCACTCGTATCAATGATGGGTGGAAGGATACGTATGAGCACCACCGGATGTTGGTTGAGGAACGGGAGCGCATGATGGGTGAAGCAATAGCACAAATGAGCGAGGTGGCCCACTATACACAAGAGCTCGCCAACAGAGCTGAAGTCATCCTACTTCGCACCAGCTTATCTTCCGAATATGGAGAGAAAATTGCTGAGATCATGACTGAGGTCATGGAACTAAGTGAAAGAGCCAAACCGTATTTGTAGATTGATCTCTTTTGTAATGACGAAAACTCTTTTGGAAGAATGAAACTTTTTCTAAGAATGGTTACTTTTGGAAATCGATACCTTTTGCATTTGCATTTTGCATTTTTGCATTTTTACATTCGTATATTAATTTTCTAAACATCTCATGTGCATAAAAAAAACAACCATAAAGATATTAATTTATGAATATTTATTTTGAAGAAAAATACCCTGGAAACCGATAAAAACCAGTCCGAAGCCACACATCCGCATAATTCCAGAAGCAAGACTAAGAAAATGGATGCTAAACTCGAGCAAATACAAAAGGAACTTCAAGAAAAGCTCTTGAAGATGCAACAAGACTGGGAGGCTAAGATGGAACAGTCACAAAAATCTGCCATTGACCGTATAATACAAATCCAATCTAACATGGTGAATGACATCGTGGCCAAATTATCTGGGCTAAGCGACATGGAAGGGAAAGAACAAAATACTGCAGTAGCCGAGACTTCTGAATATGCACCAATACAGTCTGGTCCTAGATTGATTATTTCATCTGAAAAGCTCACTGGGCATCCAACAGGTTCCTCTGCTACTAAAATTCAAATGGCTGTCACAAACCCTCAGAACAACCCGAACGAGTACAATGTACCAGATCTTGATGAGATCGAGAAAATGAAGAATCAAGTGCCTGAGCATCTAAAATATTGGTGCAAGGATTTCTTTAAGGAGATGGGTGGGCAAGGCTCCCTGGAAGGGATAGACGCGGTAGAGCTAAGTTTGGTACCCGACTTGGTTTTACCACTTAAGTTTAAGATGCCTGAGTTCGAGAAGTATGAAGGAAAGACATGTCCTAGTGCACATCTAACAATGTTCTGTAGAAGGATGACCGGCTTTGTTAGAGACGATAGTCTCCTGATACATTGCTTCCAAGCAAGTCTGACAGGATCTGTCGTAAGATGGTACAACCAACTGACCCGGGCTAAAATAAGGTCTTGGAAAGATCTAGCCAATGTCTTCAAAGAGCAATATCAACATGTTACCGACATGATGCCAGATAGAGTCACTCTCCAAAATATGGAGATGAAAAACAACGAGAGCTTCCGCCAATATGCGCAACGTTGGAGGGATATTGCTGCCCAGGTCCACCCCCCATTGGTTGAAAGAGAGTTCATAACCATGTTCATTGATACACTAAAATCCCCTTATATTGATTATATGCTGGGGGTAGCCACGAAAAGTTTCTCGGACATAGTTATGTGTGGGGAAATGATCGAGAGGGCATTGAAGAAAGGTCAAATTGTTGGTGGCCAAAACTCATTAAAGAAACCCTTTGTAAAGAAGAAGGAATGAGAGGTAAACAATGTGAACTTCTCAATAAATAAACCGAAAGCTGGAAATTCTACAACCAAGCGTGAAAACAATAATGAAAGAATAACTTTCACACTTATCCTGATGACATACAGTGAACTTTTCCAAGGGCTAGTCAAGTCACATGTGGTGTCACCAAGATATGTGGATCCGTTGGAACTTCCTTTCCCTAAATGGTATAACGAGAATGAAACATGTGAATATCACGCCAATACCCAGGGACACACAATCGAGAAATGCATTGCTTTCAAAAGGTTGGTCGAAGATTTGATCAGGAGAAAGATCATGTCCTTTCATGACTCAGAGGCACCATGCGTTGCCGCAAACCCACTCCCAAATCACCAAAATCAGGGAGTTAATGCTATCAATGAAGGTCGTAGGGTCAAAGAAAACATTGAAGAAGTAAAGACACCGTTAAAATGGGTGTATGAACAGATGATCATGAGAGGATTATTGAGTCCAAAGAAAGGATCAGTGGGGCAGAAATAAAAAATTCACTGTGAATACCATTGTGATGATGGCCATCAGATCCAAGATTGCCATGAATTCAAAAATATAATACAGAAGCTGATGGATGGGAAGGAAATACAATTCTTTGAAGAAGAACCGACAAAGAATGAAGGAGACGTTCATGCTTTCGAGGATAATTCAGAAAAGATTGACACAAAGATGAAAAAGCCGGTTTTGGTTATATCTAAGCCAAGCTACGAGGTGAACAAGGGGAAGTCGGTACCGAAAATAGTGATAAAAACACCAGTACCATTTGCCTACAAAGACAACAGAAGTGTTCCATGGAGTTACACATGTCAAATTACCACTCCCAAGCACAAGGAATGCGAAGTTGATGAGGTTGGAGGTTTCACTAAAAGTGGCAGATGTTGTGCTCGCCGAACAAAAAAGGCTAGAGTTGTTGTAATCAATGAGAATGAAAAAAAGATGAATGAACCTGTTAAAATTGATGAGGCCCAAGAGTTTCTAAAATTTTTGAAGCATAGTGAATATAACATTGTGGAACAACTCCATAAGACTCCTGCATGTATCTCAATATTGTCTCTTCTTCTGCACTCAGAGGTACACCGAAATACGTTGTTGAAGGTATTGAATGAGACCTTCGTAGCCAAGAACATACCAGTGGAATGCTTAGATAGGTTGGTGGGCAACATCAATGCCGATAATTTTATCTATTTTAATGATGATGAAATACCCGAGGATGGTAAGGGTAGATGTAAGGCACTGCATATAACCGTTCACTGTAAAGGGGTTATCATATATGGAGTCTTAATAGACAATGGATCAGCATTGAATGTCATGCCCTGGGCAACTTTGAATCGACTTCCAGTAGAAACCTCACGTATGAAAGTTTGTGGCAATACTGTTCGAGCATTTGATGGCACAGAAAGGAGCATCATGGGAAAGATCATAATCCATTTGAGGGTAGGTCCTGCAATATTCGAGGTAGAATTCGTGGTCATGGACATTCACCCTAATTATAATTGCCTACTTGAAAGACCATGGATACATATGGCTGGAGCGGTTCCCTCTTCACTGCACCAGAAACTTAGATTTATCATGGAAAGGACTTTGATAACTATCAAAGCTGAAGAGGAAATCATAGCCTCTATCACCACTGATATGCCATATGTAGAGGTAAACGAAAATGCACTCGAGTCGTCCTTCCAATCCCTGGAGTTCGTCAACGCCACCTTTGTCCCTGAAGGAAAGAAATTTCCATCTCCCCAACTCTCAAAGAATGCTAAGATGCAGTTGAAGGAAACTTTAGCCCGAGGAGCTATAGTTGGGAAAGGATTGGGCAAGGAGTTGCAAGGAATAACCAAGGGATTGAGCCCCATACCTAAGAGAAATTATTTTGGGATAGGATACAAACCTACTTATCAAGACAGGGTTAAAGATGCCCAGAAGCTCAGGGACAGAAAGAAGGGCAGAGCATATGGCCAAGATGCCTTCGGGGAACCTATCATCATACCACTCATCACTCAGACATTCACATCTGGGGGTTTTGTGATAAAGGCACTGGAAGTTCCATGGATTGAGGAAGGAGCTACTGAAGTTGAAACCCTGATGGAAGATCTCAGCATCAACGCTATAACAAATGACACTAGTGTGGAGTGCTCTCTGGCATTGATTCATCCATGCCCTCCTGGATATGTTCTGAACAATTATACTGTTGAGAAGCTCCCTGTATTTTTCAAACAAATCTCAGAGTAATGCATGATAACAACCTTGTTACTTTAGCCCGAAAGTAATAGGGATCCTTTGTTAGGGCATACTATCATTAATCCTTATTTTAATAAAATGATGTATTTTCTTTCATTCTTTCCATGGCAAACATTTATTTTGTCTTTATGATAGCCATTAGTCATTGAAAAAAATAAAAATAAATAAATAAATAAATATTCATGTCTCTAGCCCAAACGTATTCATCTCCCTTTGCAGGTCTCTAGATATCAATTGCACGAATAATGACGTTTCGGAACCAATAGTTGATTTTGAAAATGATATGTGTCTAGAGGAATCCGAGGGTTATAAGGATGATGAGGAATGCGAGTTAAATCCTGAACTTGTCAGGTTGATTGAGCAAGAAAGTAAGCATATTTTACCCCATCAAGAAAAGACTGAGACAATAAATTTGGGGACTGAGGATGATAAGAAGGAGGTCAAGATTGGTACTTCATTCTCAGCAGAAACAAGATCGGATCTTATACATCTCTTGCATGAATTCAAAGATGTGTTTGCATGGTCTTATCAAGACATGTCAGGTTTGGATAATGACATTGTGGTACAAATGCTTCCAATAAAACCAGAATGCAAGCCAGTTCAACAAAAGCTTCGGAGAATGAGACCAGATATGTTGCTAAAAATAAAAGATGAGGTGAAGAAACAATTTGATGCTGGATTCTTACAAGTGTCCAAATACCCCGAGTGGGTAGCAAATATTGTGCCGGTTCCAAAGAAGGATGGAAAGGTCCGAATGTGTGTTGACTACCGAGATCTTAATCGTGCAAGTCCCAAAGATAATTTCCCTCTCCCTCACATCGACACATTGATCGATAATACCGCAGGTCACGTTTTCTTCTCATTTATGGATGGCTTCTCAGGATATAACCAAATCAAAATGAATCCGGACGATATGGAAAAAACCACGTTTGTGACTATATGGGGCACATTTTGCTATAAAGTGATGCCTTTCGGGCTAAAGAACGCAGGGGCAACCTATCAACGAGCTATGGTTACTTTGTTCCACGATATGATGCACAAAGAGATAGAAGTCTATGTGGATGATATGATTGCCAAATCACAAACTGAAGAAGAACATGTTCAAGTCCTCAAGAAGTTGTTCCTGAGATTAAGGAAATATCAGTTAAAACTTAATCCATCCAAGTGCACCTTTGGGGCCACTTCAGGGAAGTTGCTCGGGTTCGTAGTCAGTGAGAAAGGGATAGAAATAGATCCCGATAAAGTCAAGGCAATCCTAGAATTACCGCCCCCTAAAACACCAAAGGGGGTACGAGGATTCTTAGGGAGGTTAAATTATATCGCCAGGTTCATATCTCAGTTAACGGAGAAATGTGATCCAATCTTCCGTTTGTTGAAAAAAAAGAATCCAGGAACCTGGGATGATAAATGCCAGGAAGGTTTTGACAAAATCAAACATTATTTATCCAATGCTCTGGTCCTAGTTCCGCCCGTTCCTGATAGACCATTAATTATGTACTTGACCGTTTTTGGAAATTCAATGGGGTGTGTTCTAGCACAGCATGATGAACAAGGAAAGAAAGAACGAGCCATTTACTATTTAAGTAAAAAGTTCACTGATTGCGAGACCCGATATTCTCACATCGAGAAGCTGTGTTGTGCCCTGGTTTGGACTACGAAAAGACTAAGGCAATATTTATTGTACCACACCACGTGGTTAATATCAAGATTGGATCCTTTGAAGTACATGATGAAATAAACAATCTTGAATGGGAGGATGGCGAGATGGCAAATGTTATTAGCAGAATTCGACCTAGTATATGTGAGCCAGAAAGCTGTGAAAGGTAGTGTCATTGCAGATTTTTTGGCAAATAGGGCACTAGAAGACTATGAACCAGTAAAATTCGAATTCCCAAACGAGGACTTAATGACCATATATACAATAGAAGAAGAGGAAGCTCCAAAAGATGAAATATGGAAGATGAATTTCGATGGTACATCAAATGCTGTTGGGTATAGAATTGGGGCAGTATTGGTGTCACCTGAAGGAAATCACTATCCTTTCACCAGTCGTCTCACTTTTGAATGTACAAACAACATGGTTGAGTATGAAGCTTGTATCATGGGGATCCGAGCTGCAATTGAACGTAAAATCAAAATCCTAGAAGTATTCGGAGATTCAGCCTTAGTTATCTATCAACTTCGTGGAGAATGGATGACTAGAGATTCCAAATTGGTAGAGTACAAGAATCTAGTCATGGATCTGATAAAAAGATTTGAGGAGATTACTTTTAGTTATCTCCCGAGAGAAGAAAACCAGATGGCGGATGCTTTAGCCACACTAGCGTCAATGTTCAAAGTCAATAACCAAGCTTGCATGATGCCCATCCAAATGAGTATAAGAGAAATACCGGCTCACTATTGTAATATTGAAGAAGAGGATGAGGAGGATGGTTTCCCTTGGTACTATGATATTCTTCAATATGTGAAATATCGAACTTATCCTACTGAAGCTACTGAAAACGACAAACGAACCCTAAGAAGATTGACTATGGGGTATGTCCTTGATGGAGATGTTTTGTATAAAAAAGGAAAAGATCAGATACTACTGAGATGTGTAGACAAAGTTGAAGCCAATAAGATACTTGAAGAAGTCCACGAAGGAATTTGTGGGACACATGCAAATGGTTTCACAATGGCCAAACAAATTATGAGGTTTGGTTATTACTGGTCAACAATGGAGGGGGATTGCATCAGCTTTGCACGCAAATGCCATAAATGTCAAATCCATGGTGATAAAATACACGTTCCTCCTTCACAACTTCATGTAATGACCGCACCGTGGCCATTTTCAATGTGGGGCATAGATGTTATTGGGGCAATCTCACCAAAGGCTTCAAACGGGCATCGTTTCATCCTAGTAGCTATTGACTATTTCACCAAGTGGGTTGAAGCTGTCTCATATGCCAGTATCACGAAAGGAGTAGTGTGCAGATTCTTAAGAAAGGAAATTATCTGTAGATATGGAACCCCAGGAAAGAATCATCACAGATAATGCTCTGAATCTGAACAACGACCTGATGAAGGAAATATGTGCGAAATTTAAGATCAAACATCATAATTCAGCTCCTTATCGCCCAAAAATGAATGGTGCAGTAGAAGCAGCAAACAAAAACATCAAAAAGATTATCAACCAAATGATCGAAACATATAGGGACTGGCATGAAAAACTACCTTTCGCCTTACTCGCTTACCGTACATCAGTCCGAACATCAACGGGGGCAACACCATTCTCACTTGTCTATGGGATGGAGGCAGTTTTGCCAGTGGAAGTAGAAATCCCTTCTCTGAGAGTAATGATGGAGCTCAAGTTAGGAGAGGCTGAGTGGGTTCAGAACAGATTTGATCAGTTAAATTTAATCGAGGAGAAAAGATTGAGAGCTATTTGTCATGGCCAAATTTATCAGAAGAGGATGATACGAGCTCATGACAAGAAAGTTCGACCTCGAGAATTTTATGAAGGAGATTTGGTCCTGAAAAATATCTTACCCATGCAAAAAGACTTTCGAGGAAAGTGGATGCCAAATTGGGAAGGCCCCTATGTCATAAAGAAGACATTTTCGGGAGGAGCTTTGATTTTGACTGAAATGGATGGAGATGAGTTGTCTAATCTCGTAAATTCTGATTCAGTCAAGAGATACTACACCTGAAGCAAAGAAAAGGGAACAGGGAATCAAGCAAAAACCCAAGATGTATGTCTTAAAGCCAAATGAGGGATTTGAGTTAAAAATCTATAAGATACGGCTTAAATATTTGGGGTTAGGCACATAATATTGACAGTTAGGGGAGAGGTTCTCATACTCAGACATCTTTTAGTACAATCTGAATCCTCTAAACACATGTCAACTCTCAGGAGAGGCTTGAGACAAAGAGACTTGAGACAAAATGATAGAAAGACTCGCGTACTTGATATCGGGTGTACCTAATCTCTGTTCCTTTTGAAATGTTTGCCTTTCTTTCGTAAATAAAAAAAAAAGAAATCTTCATCCAAAAATTGTACCTTTTTGCCACTCTTTAATCAATTGGATGTTTTTGTTGTTTCTTTGTGTAAGCATTATACATATAAAATTTTGATTAATAATGGTATTGTATAAAAAGAAGGATTATTATGCATTACTCAGAGAAGAGTGAGAGGAAACAATAATTTCAAAACATGTATCCAACGGGAAGCCTACGTAAGCAGGATAACTTTAATCAGCAGTTTACGCAAGTAAAAGAGATTTTAAATCAGAGCTTTATCCATTCAATTTGACGTATTCGTCAATTAAGGGGGTTAGTAATGCAGTCACATTTGGAATCCTAGACAATGGCAGTAGAAAAGCCCTGACGGTTTTAATCAAGTGAAGACCACTAAAAGCCGATGAGATTCCACACTTCGAAATTTGATGCAACAAATAATTGAACATTCATGCATTACATTCACATTAGATCATCTTTAGGACACACTGCATATGACATGCATGTCATTTGATATTTTTTGAATGAAATCATCTCCAGATTGACCCAATTTCCTCATCACGAAGGAGCAGTGTCACCCTCAGACAATCAGGCTTTCTCATCACGAAGGAACCGTATTGTCCCCAAATTATCTCTAGATTGACCTAATTTCCTCATCACGAAGGAACATCGTCATACTCGAAAACGACCCGATCTCTTCATCGCGGATGAGCGGTGTCGTCTTCAACATCAAACCGACCAGATCTCCTCATCACGAAGGAGCAGTGTCACCCTCAGACAATCAGACTTCCTCATCACGAAGGAACCGTATTGTCCCCAAATTATCTCCAGATTGACCCAATTTCCTCATCACGAAGGAACAACGTCATACTCGAAAACGACCCGATCTCTTCATCGCGGATGAGCAGTGTCGTCTTCAACATCAAACCGACCAGATCTCCTCATCACGAAGGAGCAGTGTCACCCTCAGACAATAAGACTTCCTCATCACGAAGGAACCATATTATCCCCAAATTATCTCTTGATTGACCCGATTTCCTCATCACGAAGGAACATAGTCATAATCGAAAGCGACCCGATCTCTTCATCGCGGATGAGCAATGTCGTCTTCAATATCAAACCGATTAATCGAAGAAATTGGAGCCAATCAAAGAAGAGCTTGAGATTTGTTGACGGTCCAAAATTGGTGTTTTAGGTCTTTGCTCTATTCCTGTTTTCATAGCAATGAGCAAAGAGGGGCAGCTTTAATAACCAATTTTTGTCCCCCATACTTTGTTGTTCCCAAAGCTGTACAATTTCCACTATCCACTCCAGCACATGCTCCACTCTCCACACCAGCACCAGCACATGCTCCACTTACCAGCACCAGCACATGTGGTTGCACACCACCAAATGCCAGCCCATATGTTGAAACATTTTAATATTTCGATATAACAAATTAAGTTAAATGAATTTTAAGATTTTCCAAATGATTTTCTAAGTATATTCGATATAACTATTCGAATATCAAAACATTACTCCAAATATTTCAAAAATCATTTTTGATCCTTACTTAAGTGTAAAATTAAGTTTTAATCATAAAACAATTTCAAAATATTTTACAAAGTATTTCGAACCAATTCAAAGCCAAAAATTCCAGAATACTCAGAGGGAACCGATTCCCCCCCATAGGAGGAACCGATTCCCCCCTGAATGGTTTGGCTCCGAGATTTCTAGAATGCTCGGAGGGAACCGATTCCCCCCAAGGGGGTACCGATTCCCCCTTGTTCAACGGTCGAAATATTTGAATTTTACACTTAGGGAACCGATTCCCTATGAGAGGGAACCGATTCCCCCCACTGTCCAAGCTGTTTTATTAAATGTTTTCACACTAAAACGGCTATAATATCTTCTCTAATTATCCCCAACGTTCAGAAGTGATCCAAGGTGTATTTAAGCAAGCTTAGAAGCCATTGATCAACAACAAAAAAACATCAAGCAACTAGAATCAAGAGAGAATCAAAGAGAAAGCATCAAACCTCAAGTTTGAGCATTTCAAGCCCATTTTCATTCAATATTCATTTTGCTTTCAAGAACACTTTTTGTGCTCAGTTGTATTCATCTTTGAGTGTTCTTTTCTTTGTTCTAGAATTGTGCAAACATCTTACCTTGTGAGGTTTTCTTGTAAGATTGCAAATTTGTAATCTTCTCTTTGAGAAAAGAGTGTTCTCAAGAGTTGGGGTATACTCTTGAGGGAATTGTAAGGTTATCTCTTTGGCCTCAAAAGAAAGAACAAATTAGTGAATTTGTTGGAAAATCCTTAGTGTGGATAGCTAAGGTAGTGGAAGTAGACTTTGTTTGAGAAAGTCGAACCACTGTAAATCGCTGTGCAATTACTTTCAATTTTCTGCAAAAGCTTCCACAAAATTTTTATTGCCAATTCACCCCCCTCTTGGCCAATTTCGTCATTCGATTAACTCAACAATTGGCATCAGAGCCTAACTCATTTGAAGGTTTAATCGCCTCTTGAGTCGATCCGGGAAGAGTTACATCAATTACAAAGTCATCAATGGCCTCCACTTCAAACTTCGACTCCGGTCTCGATTCGATGCCCGTCAACAAGCCTCCTTTCTTCAATGGAGCTAACTATGCCTATTGGAAGAATAGAATGATGTACTTCATTCAAGCAAGTGACATGGGAGCATGGAATGCTGTAGAAGAAGGATACATCAAACCTCTCACTCATCCAAGGTTGTGGAGTGAAGGAGAGACAAGAATGTTCCAGCTCAACTCCAAAGCCATCCATATTATTTTTTGTGCTCTTGGACCAGATGAATACGGAAGAGTTTCATCGTGTACAACCGCCAAAGAAATATGGGACAAACTTCAAGTCACACATGAAGGTACAGATGAGGTAAAGAAATCAAAAATTAGTATTCTAACGCATAGCTATGAAAATTTCAGGATGAAACCAAATGAAGACATCAAAGCTATGACGGATAGATTTTCAACGATTGTCAATGGTCTCAAATCATATGGAGAGATCATCTCAAATGAAAAGCTTGTGAGGAAGTTAGTCTACTCCCTCCCAAAATCATGGCAATCAAAGAAGACGGCAATCATCGAGTATAAGGACCTATCGTCCTTAACTCTTGAAGAACTTATCGGTTCACTCCTCACTCATGAGATGATGCTTGAAGATGAGGTGGACCTTGATAAAGTTGAAGAGACACCAAAGGAGAAGGAGAAGAAGAAAAACATTGGAGTTGCTCTCAAATCCACAAAAGATGAGAGTGATTCTAATGATGATGATGACGAGGAAATGGCATTGTTTGCCAAACGGTTCAGAAAAATGATGAGACCTTACCAAGGAAGAAAATTCAAACGAAACGAAGGCCTCAAAAATGAACCAAAAGAGAAGGACCCAATCATTTGCTATGAATGCAAAAAGCCGGGGCATGTCAAATATGATTGCCCACAATTGAAGAAAAAGGGTCAATCAAAGAATAAGCACAAGGCTCATGTGGCTACATGGAGCGATGAAGAAGGTTCCGATGAAGAGGAACAAGAAGTAGCAAACTTGTGCTTGATGGCATTCGGGGAAGATTCTAAGGTAACCTCTAACTCATCTGATTTTGATGATTTATCTTATGATGAGTTATTTGAGGAGTACAATGGGTTGGCTTCGGATTATGAGAAATTGTTTTTAAAATATAAAAATGATGTTTCAAAATTGAAAAATGAAAACAAACTCATATCCAAAACCAACAACGATCTTGAAAGTAAAATAAAAAATTTGCAAATCAAACTAGAAGAGTTTGAAAAGAAAAATTTAGATTTGCAAAATTTACTTTCAAAGATCAATGATGATCATCAAAAGAAAATTGATGATCTTAAAACTTCTTTTGATAAAGTTGGAACAAAACATTTTGAAAAAGGTGAAAATTCAAAATCCAACTTTGTTAGAAAAAGTTTTAGAAACTACAATCATAGAGGTCCCCAAAGAACCTCTAATGGAAAAATCATTAGAAGTGTGTGGGTTCCTAAAGAACTCATTAC